CTGATCCATGAATCTAAGAGCTGGTTTTTTGAAAGAATAAACAAAATCGATAAACCCCTAGCCAGACTTCTAAGAAGAGAGAGAACCCAAATAGATAGAATCACGAATGAAAAGAGGAGAGATCACAACGAACACCACAAGAATACAAACAATTATGAGAGAATACTATGAAAAATTGTATGCCCACAAACTGGACAATCTGGAAGACATGGACAAATTCCTAGATACCCACACACTACCAAAACTCAAGTGGGAAGAAATAGGAAATTTGAACAGACCCCATAACCAGCGAAGAAACTAACCCTGGCCCAAATGGCTTCCAAGGGGAATTCTACCAGACATTTAAAGCAGAGTTCATACCTATTCTTCTCAAGCTGTTCCAGAAAAATAGACACAGAAGGAAAGCTCCCAGACTCATTCTATGAAGCCAACATTATCTTGATTCCCAAACCAGACAAAAATCCCAGTAAAAAGGAGAATTACAGGCCAATATCCCTGATGAACACGGATGCAAAAATTTTCATTAAGATACTAGTAAATCAAATTCAACAGTATAGTAAAAGAATTATTCACCATGATCAAGTAGGGTTCATTCTTGATCTGCAGGGCTGACTTAATATTCACAAATCAATGTGATACATCGCATTAATAGAAGAAAGGATAAGAATCATATGATCCTGTCAATAGATGCAGAAAAAGCATTTGACAAAATACAGCATCCTGTCTTAATAAAAACCCTCAAGAAAGTTGAGACAGAAGGAACATACCTTAACATCATAAAAGACATATATGAAAGGCCCACAGCTAATATCATCCTCAATGGGGAAAAACTGAGAGCTTTCCCCCCTGAGATCAGGAACACGACACGGATTTCCACTCTCACCACAGTGTTGGAAGTCCTAGCCTCAGCAATCAAATAACAAAGTGAAATAAAGGCATCGAAATTGGCAAAGAAGAAGTCAAACTTTCACTTTTCACAGACAGCATGATACTCTACATGGAAAACCCAAAAGACTCCACCAAAAATCTGCTACAACTGATACATGAATTCAGCAAAGTTGCAGGATATTAAGTCAATGTATAGAAATCAGCTGCATTTCTATACACAATAAAGCAACAGAAAGAGATATCAAGGAATCAATCCCACTTACAATTGTACCAAGAACCATAAAATACCTAAAAATAAACCTAACCAAAGAGGTAAAAGATCTGTATGCTGAAAACAATAGAAAGCTTATGAAAGAAACTGAAGAAGACAAAGAAATGGAAAAACATTCCATGCTCAGGGACTGGAAGAATAAATATTGTAAAAATGTCAATACTACCCAAAGCAATCTACACATTCAGTGCAATCCCTCTCAAAATAACACCAGAATTCTTCAGAGAGCTAGAACAAACAGTCCTAAAATTTGTATGGAACCAGAAAAGATCCCGAATAGCCCAAGTAATATTGAAAAAGAAAACCAAAGCTGGAGGCATCACAATCCCGGACGTTAGCCTCTACTACAAGGCTGTAATCATCAAGACAGTATGGTATTGGCACAAATACCATACACCATAGACCCATGGTAGACCCATAAATCAGTGGAATAGAGAACCCAGAAATGGACCCACACATGTATGGCCAACTAACCTTCGACAAAGCAGGAAACAGTATCCAATGGAATAAAGACGGTCTCTTTAGCAAATGGTGCTGGGAGAAGTGGACAGCAACATGCAGAAGAATGAATCTGGACCACTTTCTTACACCATACACAAAAATAAACTCAAAATGGATAAAAGACCTAAATGTAAGACAGGAAACCATCAAAACCCTAGAGGAGAAAACAAGCAACAACCTCTTTAACCTCAGCCACAGCAACTTCTTACTTGACACATCTCTGAAGGCAAGAGAAATAAAAGCAAAAATGAACTATTGGGACCTGATCAAGATAAAAATCTTCTGCACAGCAAAGTAAACAATCAACAAAGCTAAAAGGCAACTGACAGAATGGGAGAAGATATTCGCAAATGACATATCAAAAATCTATAAAGAACTTACCAAACTCAACACCCGAAAAACAATCCAGTGAAGAAATGGACAGAAGACATGAATAATCACTTTTCCAAGGAACACATCCACATGGCCAACAGACACATGAAAAGAGGCTCAACATCACTCATCATCAGGAAAATACAAATCAAAACCACATTGAGATACTACCTCACACCGGTCAGAGTGGCTAAAATTAACGACTCAGGAAACAACAGATGCTGGCGAGGATGTGGAGAAAGGGGAATCCTCATGCACTGTTACTGGAAAACAGTATGGAGGTTTCTCAAAAAATTAAACATAGAACTATCCTACAACCCAGCAATTGCACTAGTAGGTATTCATCCAAAAGATACAAAAATGCTGATTTGTAGGAGCACATGTACCCCAACGTTTATAGCAGCACTATCAACAACAGCCAAATTATGGGAAGAGCTCAAATGTCCATCAACTGATGAATGGATAAAGAAGATGTGATACACACACACACACACACACACACACACACACACACACAGGAATACTACTCAGCAATGAGAAAGAATGAAATCTTGCCATTTTCAACAATATGGATGGAAATGGAGGATATTATGCTAAGTGAAATAAGTCAGAAAAAGACAGCATGTTTTCATGCATATGTGAAAATTGAGAAACTTAACAGAAGACCATGGGGGAAGGGAAGGAAAAATAAGTTATAAACAGAGAGAGAGGCAAACGATAAGAGGCTCTTAAATGCAGAGAACAAACTGAGGGTTGATGGGGGGGAGGCTGTGGGGGGCAAGGAAAAGAGGAGATGGGCACTGAGGAGGACACCTGTTGGGATGAGCACTGGATGTTGTACGTAAGTGATGATTCACAGGAATCTACTCCTGAAGCCAAAACTACACTCTATGTTAGCTAACTTGACAATAAATTATTTTAAAAAAAACAAAAAACATGGGGCGCCTGGGTGGCGCAGTCGGTTGGGCGTCCGACTTCAGCCAGGTCACGATCTCGCGGTCCGTGAGTTCGAGCCCCGCGTCGGGCTCTGGGCCGATGGCTCAGAGCCTGGAGCCTGTTTCCCATTCTGTGTCTCCCTCTCTCTCTGCCCCTCCCCCGTTCATGCTCTGTCTCTCTCTGTCCCAAAAATAAATAAACGTTGAAAAAAAAAATTAAAAAAAAAAAATAAAAAAAAAACAAAAAACAAAAAACAAAAAACCTGAGACAAGGAAAAAAAAAAGAAATAATAAAATGAAATGAAATACTTCAGCAAAGGACAAAAATAGATGAATCTGTGGCAAGATACGATTATTTGAACTTAAGTTATGAGTATATGGATGTTCACTGCACTATTATGTGTGTGTGTACATTTTCATAATCCTAAAAAAGTTAAATGCAGATTACCTAGTAACATTAAATATAAGTAGCAATAAAAATAAATAAAAGAAAAAAGAAAACGAGTCATGTGCTCTTATAACTGAGCCCGCCAGGTGCCCCTACAACTGGGCTTTTAAACAAAAGTTCTTTTAGTTTAATAAGTTCATTCCTCCCTTGAGTTTTAGCATTTGCATGGCCTTTTTATAAAGAAATCCACATTCGGATTCATGACCTACAACAGAAGCAAATCACATTCAAGGAACAATCACTGAGGACTTAGCTCCACACTAAGTACCAGGATGAAATGAGGCCCAAGCCCCCCCTTAAAGGAACTCCTGTTTAGTAAGAGGAGACAAACATGGGGAACAAAGTGCACCGAAGCGCACGCCGACACCAGGGTGCAGGCAGCTTGCCAAGAGGGTGTGATGAGCCCTGGCCGGGCAGGTATCGTGAAAAGGCATCTGCCAGAAAGATGGCTGAAGGCTGTTCTGGGTGTGGGCGTGGAAGGGCCGTACCTATGGAACAGCAGGCTTCATCCAGGGATTATGGTCTGGTAGAGCTGCGATGTTTGGGGAAAACCGCTGGGGGAGGAAAGACCTGGCAACAAAACTGAACGGTCCCAGGGAAGGACTCAGAGTGCGTGCCGGAGAGCTCAGACTTTGTCCGCTGGGCCCCGGGAAGGCACGGTGGGATACGAAGCTCAAAGACAAGCTCATATTCATCTTTTACTAAGCTCACAGTGGCAAGAGTAAGAAGGATGAACTCAAAGAGTGCGAGACCAGAGCCGCAGGGAACTCAGAAGTGTGACAATCATGCATGTGAACAGAACAGCCTGGGCTGGGAGTATGAAGAGACACGGGAACGCACTGAACCGTGTTAAGCAATCACAATGGCCAAGTGCCCTTGACGCACAAAGTTGAGGTGAAACCTGGACGGGGATAGAAGAAGGGGAATGGACAAGTTTCTGGTCCAGGCAAGTTGAGTCGAAATGAAGAAAATCTTGTGAAGAACCAGGGAATCATCCTGTTTTTATATAAAATATTTTTTTTAAAGAAGGACTCTAGCCAGGAATTAGGAAGAACTGAAAACAAGGACTTCGAGAACACTCTGTTGTTACTTAAGGAGGCTCAGGTTTGGGGGCTGTTTTAAGGGAAAATTGTCCGCGATGACTAAAACACCTTCGGTGCACAGCACAGGGATGGATTATATGACCTGTTCCCTCCAAAGTCAACCCTAACGTAATTAAAAACTATACTATTAAACCTACTTCATCTTGACACCATTCCTGGAGGAGGACATGAAATACAGGGTTCGCCAAGCACCTGCACTTACTTTTGTGCATGTGGCGAGCACACAGAACAGTGGGGCAGGGACTATCACTTGTTGAAACACTGATGCGGTATTTACTTTCAGCCATGTTTGTTTATTCCGGGACAACAGGCACAAGACAGCTATTCATCCAAAAAGTTATTCATCTTTCCTGTTTTTAAAGACAAAATGTATTCAGATATCTCTTCTGTCTTCCAAGCTGCTAATCTGAACCTTCCAGAGGCTGACGACTACTCTGGATTAGGATACATGCCGCCTGTGACCCCCAGCTCTCCTCACTTACTTCAGAATTCCAATCTTCAGCTGTAGCCCGTGCAGGACTTCCGTGACTCCATAGACATCAGCAAGCAGGTGGTGTGTGGAAACTATCTTTTTGGCATTGAGATGAGAATAATTTTCCTTCAAAAATGATAACCCGCACATTCTCCCGTTATCCAACCAATCCTTATCATAGCGGTATTTTGCGCTCCACCTCTGACCTGCAGATGAAGGGGACATTCAAATGACAAAGGATCCCACTTACTCAGATTCCCCTTCCACTGTCACCCCACTGACATCATTCAGAAAGCAAGGGGAGCTCTAGTACTAAGAGCAAATTCGAAAGAGCAAGACAGTGTTCTGAGGCGCTGGCGCTGTGATGCTCCTCCGCACTTACAGATTTTCCGCCCGCTAAGAACACGGTCCGTTAGGGATGTGGTCAGGGGCTGAGGACACCTGCAAAGAACCCTGAGTGTACTGCTTCCCATTTTTTACATATCTGTCATCTGTCTTCTAGAAAGGTCGAGAGGGCTGGAGAGAAACTAGATGGGGTGCCTGTTTCTCACTCACATTTGTTTTGAACTGGATGAAATACAGAGACTTGCTTAAGTGGATGTTCGGACCCCTTTCCAAGATCTCACAGGGCCCTGTAGAATCTTGTATTTTCACCATCGATACTAACTGTATCCTATTAAGCTAGTTGCTTATGTGTCTGTGACCCCCACTGTACTATGAGACAGTGGAAGGCTTGCTTAGATTCAATCCTCTTACCTCTTACCAGCATTTGGCAAAGAGAAGGCATCCAATAAATGCTGCTGAATGAGTAAACTGATGTCTACATTCATATAGCTCTGAATCATTCTCCAGCTTCTTAAATGTTACTTTTGTTTTTGTTTTTGTTTTAAAGATAGACAAGAGAAAATTAGGTAGGCTTTTATTTGAGAATACCTAGTTATTTTCTGCCTGGGCAGCTGAATGTGTACATAATATGCAAAACCTTGCTACTCAAAGAGCCTCTAGATGGAAGAAGGTGCTGGAGAGGGAGGCGAAGGGCACCGGTTTCCATCTCGGGTCTGTGCACACGGCACACAGCCAACCCTCTGAGCCCCGGCTGCCTCCTCGGCAAGATAAAGGGACCCAACGGGAGAGCCTGAGATCCCATCTACCCAAAATTAGTTGGATACGCAGCATGTTCAGGAACTTTCCTCAAGCCACGTCATGAGGAGTGCACACTCGAATACAGTTCCACTCAAAGAGTCACACAGGAACCTATCTAGAAATCAATACACAGGGACACACGAAGGGGTGAATTCTTCTCCCAGAGAAAGTCCTAACTCTGCCCCGAAAGGCGGTGGGAAATGAGGCGAATGTTTTGGCCTAGGTCATTAACATGGAAAATAAAACTGTAACAGAGAGCGAAAAATATTTAAAGACGCCGACGCGGAAGCAGAGTGCAACCGGCCCGGCCAAGTAGCGGTGTCTCCTGTGGCCAGCACACCACCGGCTGGGACCCAGATCTTCGGGCGTCCAGCCCCCCACACGGGGCTCAGGCTTACCGGGAGGGTCCCTGCAGATGTAGCAGACGTACTGCTCGGGGATGCTCTCCTCCAGGAGCCCCATGCACACGCTGTGCTGCCAGCACAGACACTCTTCGCACTGCGAGAAAACACAGGGGCGCCTGCGGTCACTGGGCTGCTCCCCAGCGAGGAAGCCACGCCCCCTCCCCGCCGGGGGGGGGGTGGCCCCCCCCCCCCCCGCACTGCGAGTCTCGTCCACGCGACGAGGCGGACGCGGATTCAGGATGCATTTTCTTTCTGAAACACTCAAATGCTTCACGAACTTCCCCCTGCCACAGCTATTACCTTGACAAGCTATGTACCTTGACATATTACTTAAACCACACACACAATCATAAAACTAGTTCTCTCATGTATTTCCCACTAATTTTTAGGCAATTACATCCTTAAAACTCTTAAAAATAGCCTATTAGAGTGCACTTTTTTTAAAAGGCAAGTTCATAGGAGTGCCTGTAGCAGTGACTTCAACCGGTATGGTGATGCTATAAATTTGTAGTTCCCTTATTTGAGAAAACCTTTGAAAAGGGGTAGAAAAAAGATTACTCTTTCTTCATTCCTATGACCATCATTTCCAAATCTTCTAAATGTCATCACAGAACATGGGGTTATGCTTCTCCCTGTTCCTAGAAAGATACCCTTTCTACAGGGAGACACCAGTGGTTGGTAACGCTTCATCCTCGCAACAAACTTTGAGAAGAGTGGACACGTTTATTTCCAGATCTGCAGGTTGAGGGGCTGGGAAGGTGACGACACAATGTTATTAAACAGGGACCCGGGCCAGGAAGAGAAGGGCTGCTACGCTCTACCCTTCAACGCGGATGCTCGCCATCTTAATGGCTTCAAAGACTGGCTTCCAGAATTTCAGCCTGAAGACCTCAAACTCAACACTAGCTCTCTCAGGTGAGACAGCCGTCTACTCCTTTGATGAAGAGATTTCCCCACCAGTATTACTGGGACTTGAAACGCTGTGATAAGTTGAAAACCTCTGTCTTCAACAGGACAGTTAGTGACAAACACGGAAGCCCTGGTTGTACTTGCTGAGCACCTGAAGTTAATGGCTCCGGAGGGCAGGGAAGACGGGTTACCTGGATCATGAAGCCGTTCTCCTCATCCATTTCACAGATACATCGAACGATCTCATTAAGAGCATCGTCTTCATCCTGAGATTCCTCAAAATTGGTGGAATCGAAGTCCTGATTGTACTCATCCCCACTTAGAAGTAAACTCTCTGTTGAAGAATCGTCTAGGAATTCCACATCCGATAAGTCTAGAACATACACAAAAGTAAACTCAGCAAGTATTTTTCCATATTTGTGTCACTTTTCCAGATAGAAAGGAGCTAAAGGAAGTGACTGTAAGCTATTAAATATTTAGAAGGGAAGGGCAGACAAATGAGAATAGAGCACTTGTCCCTAAACAAAGAAACAAAGGATTTTTGAGGCCAAGGTAATTATGACTGACTTTGCGTCTTCTCATATACACTATTACAAGTAACTTGCAGAGGATCCCCTAGCCTTGGTGCTTATAGTTTATGCCCAAGGTTGATATTGATAACTTAAATACGCATAGTTCTCAAACGCTCTCACAAACGTTAGTCCTTTTGATCCCCCCAAGAACCACGGGTTATAAAGAGAACGGGTTTCGTTATCTGTACCACAGACATGGGCATTTCAGTGAAGGGAAGGAGACTGCCTGGAGTCCGGTATCAATGCTACTATTCTTAACAGGATCAGGATCATCAACCACCACTGCACTTAATATGCACCAGATATTCTACCAAACACTCCAAACACAAGATCTATTACTTGCTCGAGGAGTGTAGCCAGCTAATGGTGAAGCTGACTGCATACCAGGACTACCTGACTCCAAAGCCTGCGTTCTTAACGACTTCACCAGTATTTCTTAAGGTGGGATCTTGAGTTCCCTAAGGAATTTGCAAAGTTTTAAAATTTCACTTTGATAAAAATCTTTTAAAGTATATTCTAGAAACTAGATTATATAGAGGACCACTACATAGAATTTGACTCAAACGCCCAGTTTTAGGTTTGTATTTGTGCCAGCATTGATGTCAAAGACCACAATTTTGCTCAGGCTATTGAGAAAAAACAAAAACAATTGAGGCACACACAAGGAAATATTTATAACCAAGGGGAAAAAATGAGGACGGACACTAGAGATCTTGCAGGAGTGTGGATGGAGATATAAGGGAGCTGAGTCATCGCGAGTTGTGCAGTGGAACACCTGACCGCTGCTGCGGGGCACCTGGGGGCTAATCAGCTGAGCACTGCAGCGACAGGTAGTTCCTTGTGCCCCAGTGTCCCAGCCTCTGGTCTCAGTCTGCCCGCTGCTTCCCCTGCCCACTGCTCACCTCCTTCTGGGCAGCATCAACAGGCTGGGAGACCAAGGGCTTTGCACTACTGAGTGCTCCACATCTAGTTCTTACAGTGGAGCCTGGTCTATACCAGTAAAGCCACTCCAGCTTCTGGAGGAGCAAAGGGGGGGGGGGGTCTATAAAAAGAAAAAATACTCTTTAATTAAACCACAAAGAAGTTGGCCAAAATTGAAATAAAAAAAAAAAAAAAAAAAAAAAAAAATCATGTTGTTTATAACTTAAATATTTCATGATTTAGTGTTTCTCTTATCAGCTTCTAATCTTATTTTTTCCCTGACTCTGTTTTTGAATGTTTTGTTTTTGATTTACAAAAAGTTAATGTTCTATAGAAAAATGTCTTTTTTAGGGTCTTAGGACATCTCAGAGAAGTCAGGAGAAATAATGGTCGAGAAATATAGGAAAATTTTCAAGAAGAAGTCAATCATGCATTATAAAATCCTAATAATAATGAGTAGTTTTAAGAACCTAAAGAGGAGATTTCATTCATTCATCATCTTGCTAGCATAAACCCAAAATCAGTATTTTCTCTCAGGCCTTCCTGAATGCAAGTTCATGTTTCAAAATGGCAGACTAGGACATGAATAAACAAACACTGTTGCAGCATGTAGGTGGCATGATATGGATGGCAATCGTAGCAGGATAAATAAATTTAAAACTATTATCACTGAAAGGAATTAGTGTGTATCTCACACATGCTTTCATGGCCAAAATCACAGGTTTTATGATGTTCAAATGTAAACTGAACATAATGGCCAGAAAACCTAGTTTGAATAATTCCCAAGCATCAAACATACGTTTGGCTGAATTCTAAGGGCAGAGTAAATGGATCCAAGGGTTCAGAGTTACAAAAGCAAAGTTCCCTCTCGCACTAAAATAGCATCTGGACAACAGCTCCAACTGAGTGGCCACAGAACACCATCCTCTTCCAACGGCTACACCTTGATCTATCGCTGTCTTCCCAGACATATTCTCCGAGTGTGGATTCCAGATCAGCGTCACCCGGGAACTCACCTGACATCAGGAATTCTGAGGGTGAGGCCCAGAAAAGTGTTTTTCACAAGCTCTCCAGGTGGTTCTGATGCACGCTAACGTTTGAGAAGCCCTGGCCGAAGACCCAACCCCGCCATGTCCGTTCTTTCTCACAGGTCAGTGCTCGGTCACACAGGGGGCAGAAGACACAGCAGAACCGACAGCACGCGCCCGCGACACCCTTTCCCTCCCCTCTCGAGCATCTAGTTCTGGCAACACAGCCCGCCCGGACATAGTCTCCATTCTCCAGCAGTGCTCTGTGTATAAGGAGGACACTCAGGCCCTCACGGCTCAAACTGGGGTGCTCTTAGGTGATTTTCAACCCCTGCCACCCTGCCCCAAAGAATCACTCAGAAACTGTATCTTGCCAAAAACCGCATCTGCCCTTCCAGAAATCTGCCTCATGCTCCGCAACAGGTCTCTGTATCGGGGTTCGGAAGGCATCACAGCAACAATGATCACGTACACCTGGGTTTAAGAGCCACTGGCCCAAAAAGGGACAGGGGACTGGTGTTTGTTAGAAACAGAGGGAGGTCTTTTTCCTAATCCTCTGCCCCCCCCCCCCACCCCCGCCCATATTTTAAGACTATACATCTCTGAAGTGCCGGGCGCCTGTTTTAGGAGAAAAGGGAGAAGATGCTACTCTCCGTAGTGGGCTCGAAGGCAGTCAGGCCTGGGGGTTAAGCAGGAGGCAGCAGTGCAAAAGGAAGCACGGCACCAACCACGCTGGGCCCTCAGCAGAAAGGAAAAGACAGGAAGTGAGCTCAGCCACAACCATCCCAAGACCAAGACCCTGTCCCTTATCCTTCGTTCCCTGACTGTCGTCCTCAAGCCACTGCCGTCAGGGTCTCCAGCGGGAGAGGCTCCCCTTGGACTGCTGAGAGCACTGGAAGGTAAGATAACAACCCCGCGGTCAGGACCGGGCTTTCGGGGAAACCCGGCAGATTCCCGGTATGTATGTGCAAATACCTATGACCAGTACATGGTGGACACTAAGAGTTTCTTTACCATCTGCCCTTCAATTAATTACAGAAGCCAATTTGACTTTACAGGAGTTTAAAAAGTAGTTCAAATTTCTAATGCTGAGATTTTCTTATTAGTTTATGGAAGAACTTTTGAAACGGCGTGCCCTGCTCACGTAAGCCCTTAACAAAGTACGTTGTTATCTCAGTTCCACACTTAAGGATCTTAAGACTTGTTTTAAGCATTACATAGTTACACATACTTTCACCACTAAGATCAACTGACAAAATTGCCCTTGGGTACTGATATGTTGTATTTTTCTCCGTAAACATGCTTCGCAGAGCCAGAGAACTCCCAGAAGATCGAGTTAGTGGAGAAGAGCACCTTTCCAGAAATTCTAGAGAACTGTCTTCATAGTCTGAATAGTCTGCAACATAAGATACATAAAGAAATATTAATAAAGTGTCAGGTAATCAAGAAGAACCAGTATAAAAATAACGAGAGAGCCATGTTTTACAAGACACAAGATAACCATGTCACCTCTTTCTCTCCTTACCCAGGAACGGCTAGATCACTGTGTATCTGATAAACCGGGTTTGGCAAGAACACCTGGGAAATACACCCGGGGCAGTATTTGCATACCAGGGAGCACCGTGTTCTAGCTGGTACCAATAAAGTCTTGTTAACCGGTCCAGAAGTGAAAAAGGATTATCTCTACAGTTTCTCTCCATTATAATCAAGGCTATGTCTGTAGTAAGAGGTGCAAGATGGAAAATCGACATTTTTTTTTTTTTTTTTTTTTTTTTTGCAATTTGTAAAGAGGTGCTCCTAGTAGGTAGCATGTCAATTATTACACTGACAATTCAATCCATTGATAAATTTTTCAGCAGAAAACCTCTGAATGAAATTAATGCCAGTCCTGTCTTCCTCAACTTAGCATGAGTCCTGCAGACAAGGAGGTTCTGAGGCAGACGACCACCTGGCACGTCTGACAAGTGACAACCTGTGAGACTGTGGCTGCCTCGCAGTGAAGGGGGGAGGGAGAAACGAGGCTAGAGTGGCGGGAGCAGGTCAGGTTAAACATGTTTTTCGTTTTGCGTTCTGCCCGAAATGCAGCAAAAAGGGCGTGACACAAGTCCGGTTCTGGCTCTGAAATCCCACCGGAGCTGTGCAGTGAGAGTCGGCGCAGGGAGGCACGGGCGGAGGCACCAGGGCCCGGCAGGGGAGGAAGGAAGAGGGCGTGGAGTCGGACAGGCAGATGCTGGGATCCGGGGACTGCAGGGGAGGGGCTGACACAGGGTCAGAGGGTGATCTCCAGGCTTCTGCTTCAACTGCCAAGTGTGAAAGCAGGGTTCGGAGATGGGGGTGACGAGTAAGAGAGAGGTGGAGGAACCAGAGAAGGAATGTGGGTTCCGAGGAGGGCTTTTTAAAGATGGGAGACCCTATACGTTGTCTCAAAAATCTAAAAATGAGGAGAGGCAGGGTGACAAGTGCCAGGATTTTAAGAACTGAAGACAGACACTGCCTCCCTCTTAGTAGAGGCAAAGGAGGAGAAAATGGATACAAGCAGCTAAGTGCACAGTTGTGGGTCAGATGAGCAAGTTCTCATCTGGTGGCTGCTATTTCCTCAACTGAGTATGAGTGAGGCAAAGGTCACCGGAGGCAGGTTAAGGACTAAAAAGAGGGAGAACAGAGCGGAAGAGGTGGAGGAAAGGTCGAGGGTAGGAAAGCAAGCTCCAGGAGAAGGGCCGCACCAATGCTGGTGTGCACTGTGTGCATCCAAGTGACATTGGTGGTTGTGGTCAGCAAAATAATTGTCCCCCAAGACGTCCACGTCCTAATCCCCACAACCTGTGAGTGTGCGGGGCTCTGGAGCAAAGGGGAATTGAGGCTGCTTATCAGACCTCAAAATAGGGAGATTGCCCCGGATCATCAGAGTGGGCCCGATGCAGTCAGAAGAGTCCCTAAGGTGCAAGAGAAAGGCAGAAGAGTCAGTGTCGCAGCGACGTGAAGTGAGAAAGACTTGAGTGGCCCGTTGCTGGCTTTGAAGATGGTAGGGGGGCATGAGCCAACACATGCAGCAGCCCCCGGGAATCTGGGAAGGGCAAGTAAATGGCTTCTCCCCGAGAGCCTCCCGAAAGGAATGTAGTTCCCCCGAGGCCCATTATGGACTTCTGACCTTCAGAGAACTTTAATAAATTCGTGTTGTTTTATGTCACCGATACATAGACTTCTGTGACAGCAGCAGTTGGACAGTAATAGATAGAGCGGTCACCATAAATACTACAGCACAGCCGCATTCTTTGGGCACCCTGGTGTGCCAAACATGATTCCAAGTGCTTCGGGTATATTAAAAATGTCTCAGTCCTCACAGCCATCCGACAAAGGAGCTAAGCAGGCTTGGTGCCATTTTACAAGCGGAAGAGCAGAGGCAGAAAAGGTTACGTAAATTAAACTGCCGAAGAGTACATCTCTCTCCGCAGCAAAGCCAGCCTTCAAACCTGACTCTGACTACCGAGCCTTACGCTCAACCAAAAAGTGTTACCAGGGGACTTTGACGTTTACCGTATACACAAACTGGAAAGCTTGTTAAAGCTGACGCCTGGGCCTCACCCCCAGCAGGTCAGGAGTGGGGACACTCCCGGACACCGCTGTCAGACTGCAAAGCGGTCTCGGAGTGGCGCGGTGTTCCTGTACCTCTCTCACGGCCTCCCGGCGACTCTACACAGCTTACCCAATGCCATGACTCAGACACAGGCGCGAAAAGGCCGTCTGCTGAATGCCAGCTGGCACTGTGTTAAGTACTTTACAACGATTACCTTACTGAATCCTAAAAATGAAACCACACGGTAGGCACGGTTATTACCATTTCCGAAGCGAGGAAACTGACGTTTATAGCATTAACATAACTCGCCAAAGGTCACGTGAGCTATCGATGTCACGGCGAGGAACTGAACCCAATGCTCACCTTTGAAAGCTGCCCTTTTACCGACCCTAGTGCTGTCTCAGCCGAGTAAAAGTAGAAGCAGAGTCTACTTTCTACACCGGAGTGTAAAAATAACGGGAGAAATCTCAATTTGGTGTTAAAAAGAAGGCACGCTGACATACCATCCCTCCGCGTGGGATTAGCAGCTAAACAAAACTCGGCAGTCTACACCACACCTGCACCTTGCATTCTAGTCCCCACTGGCTACCGTGACTAAAGGCTACCTCTGGCTTCAAGGTCAGGTCAGCTGTAGTCCTCCACATAAAGCCCCTTCCTCGACCACCGGGGCTTCTCTACACTATACACAGAACTTACTTTGTGTCACTGCTACCTTCCCAGTAGAGAGCCGCGCATGCTTCTTATCCCTCTTGGTCTCTACTGACAGGCTTGCTTATAAGCGCCGGGGAGGGAGTCTTTGCTTTCTCTACGTAGTGTTCTGGACTCTCCTGGCATTTCTCACTCTCGTTCTTTTCACTCTCTGTGTGCCTTCGGTTCTCTCATACTTACAGATATGTGACAAAGAGATGAAGCGACCGTGGCTCAAAGTGACAAAGGTAAAAACTGGCAAAGACGTCACTCTTAAATCCCAACATGGTGGCTGTTCCTACGGACAACCGAGAGAACTTACTACGCCAGCGAAGACCAGCCAACGCTTGCTAGAGGGAAGGCCGCGCCACCTGCCAAACACTCTCGAAGGCACAGGAAGTAGCGTAACAACAGAGCATGATGGTTAAAGTCCAACTTGAGAACGAAGCCACACGGCCTGGGTTTGAATCTGCCTTTCACCACTTACTAGCCACGTGGGCTTGGGCGACGCTCTGTCTCGGCTCACGGTTTATAAGATGGGGAGAAGAGGCCCCACTAAATTTAGAGTTAGTGGATGTGAAGAGGAAACAAAGCACCGAATGTGAACTGCTTGTATCATCTACATAATAAGCACCGGCAGGATATGCAAAATAACACTCAGTGTTAAGGATGAATTTTCAAAACTCCCTGGTGGTAGTAACTGTAGATTAAAATACGTATCGTATTAGGAACCTCAAGTAGGAATAATGTTTCTGTTTTTGAAGTTGGCTCCATGCCCAAAGTGGGGCTTGAACTCCCCCCATGACCCTGAGATCAACAGTCACATGCTCTACTGACTGGGCCATCCAGGTGCCCCGGAAAAATAATGTGAATGTTTTAAAATTAAGATGTCTTTAAAATTATTTGAAACCCCCCATTTGCAGCTTAAAGACTACCCTCCTAATTTGATGTGGAGAGGAGTGTCACATCCAAGATGAATATAAATAGCCCAGAATAAACTGTCAAAGTGATCATCAATCGCAAGGATGCCGGTGATTATCCAGCACTGCACCTGCTGAGTATAAAGTGCATAAAGAGCACAGCTTCTGTGCATCTTTAAGTATTTGCCAGGATTCCATCTACAAAGTTAAGATTTTCATTTATAGGTCTGATTTTACTTACTAAAAAAATTTTTTTATACGTTTATTTATTTTTGATAGAGAGAGAGACACAGCACAAGTGGGGGAGGGGCAGAGAGAGAGGGAGACACAGAATCCGAAGCAGGCTCCGAGCCGTCAGCACAGAGCCCGACGCAGGGCTCGACGCGGGGCTCGACGCGGGGCTCGAGCTCACAGACCGTGAGATCATGACCTGAGCCGAAGTCGGACGCTTAACCGACTGAGCCACCCAGGTGCCCCTATCGGTCCGATTTTAATATGTAAAAAAAAAATAAAGTTCTTTTCTTTTTAATTAAAAAATAAAAATATCTTAACATTGTTTTCCAAGATTACTTTTTAATGGCTCTTTAAAACTAGGGTTAGCGGAACACGACTCAGTGGTGCAAATGTCCAATTTCTTGTCCAAGTCTTACTAATCCTGATCAGCCTCCTTTCCTCCAGACCACCACTCCCTGCATCCTCATAAATGCTCTCTCACTGCGTAGCTAAGGGAGGCCCACTCCTCACTTGTTCCCTGCCGGCCCCTCCCTGTTATCTTTCCCCCACTTTCTCGGGAGGCTAGCATATTAGGATTGTGTGTCTGCCAGCGAGTCCTGGGACAGACCTGTTGCTGACATGGCACACAGGGACTTGAACAGCCGGCCCTTCCGGCCCTGGGCACTTCCTGTGCCCACAGCAGTACCTAAGGCCACCAAATCCCCACAGCCTCTGGTCACTTGGGAGTTCCCCCGGCCATTTTACGTGCAGTCTGAAGCTTCTCTCACGCCTACATTAGGATTCATCCTCCCGGGAGGGTAATCCTGGATCAAATGGGTTTGTGCTTACTGGTTTTTGTTTGCGAAGTGGCAGAATTTCCTGACTTTAAGGTTCTCTGGAGTCTAGGCCCCACAGAGCTCTGCGTGAAGGGGTGGGGGGAGGGGAGAAGGGACAAGGGGCAATGTGGGCACAGGAAGGCCCGGACGTGTTTGAGACACTCTC